GAATTTTCAGCTTCCTAGCCTTTGTGGTTCCCGAGTTAAAAGTTGCGGACAAGTTGCTGCGGACACACACACAAACACACGCACAAACAACCCCGAGACAATATGCATTTTGTACTGCTGTTACACAGCACAAAACGCATAATAAAACACTACAAAAACATTTCAAGTAAATAGCGACGCGTACCAGGGCAGCAGGTGCGGTCATGCATTTTGTGCGGTTCGGTCTACTGAGCGTTTGCCTGCTAAGAATTTTCAGTGCTTTGCACCTTTGTCTATGCAAAAATAGCTGAAATGTTGTTTGGTTACTAAGCTGCGGAATCTCCCACAAAAAATTTCACGTACCGGTGAAAACTGAATATGAAACCTCGAGGGGTGAATATATTTCCAAACTCCGAGTTTTTTGGCTTTCGGGTAATTATCACGGCAAAATTTTCAACGTGGTCGTGCGTGAGACCTCGATGCACTTAGGAAATGAATTAGAGTTTGTGGAGCCCATACTTAGGCAGGAAACACCCCGTAAAATTTTCAGCCTCCCAGCTCTTCTGACTCCCGAAATAATATTCCTCGCGCAAGGTTTCGCGAGGCCGTAACTGACACCCGGGCCCGTGGAAAGACTGAATTTAAATTTGCAGGGTTGTATGTGGACAGGAGGCATTGCAGTAAAATTTCAGTTTGCTGGCTTTTATGGTTTCCGAGATAATAATTTCCCCACCAAAATTTTCAAAGTGGCAAAGGGGCGTAGGTATACCCGTGAGCGCGGGAACGCTCAATTTGAATTTTCGAGTTCGTACGCAGACAGGGAGTCATCACCTTGAATTTTCAGCTTCCCAAATTCCGCGGCTCCTAAGGTAATAGTTTTCCCCATCAAAACTTTTACGCGACCGCACATGTCACCCGCGAGCACGGAAAGGCTGAATTCAAATTTGCGGATTAGCGGGGGACATTGCTAGTTTCCTAGCTTTCATGGTTCCCGAGTTCAAAGTTGCAAACAAGATGCATCGGACACACAGACATATATATATATATATGTATACATATGTATATATAAACGTGTTTATACATATATAAACATACATATATATACAGCTACATATATATATATATATATATATATACAGCTCCGTGACAATATGCGTTTTATGCGGCTGGTGCACAGCACAAAACGGACAAAAATGCGCCAAATGGCAATCACATTATACTCGATTTCGTTTCTGTTACGTTTTTTGCATATATGCAAATGTAAAAATGCATACTGTGACAACACCGGTGTGTGTATATATTTTGTGTGTATGTGTTTGTGCGTTTGTCTGAGTATTTCAACTCGGCAGCCAACCACACTCCGGAACCGAAAGTTTGTCGGGGGGTTCACCAACTGCCAACCCAGAACCGCAGAACCAATTCTCGCGCACTCTGGCCCCTACGTATTTTCACGTGAGATTTTTGGAGAGAAAACCGCTATCTCAGGAACCAGCAAAGCTGGAAGACTGAAATTTTTAGTCAGTGTTCTTCGTCCACGTAGGAATCAAAAACTTCAAATTCAACCCCAGGCATGTGTGGTTCCCATATGTGGCCCTGCAAAAATTCCTGGCAAGAAAATTGATGATTCGCTGACCAGAAAAGCTGGAAAGCTGAAATTTTGACAGAATGTTGCCTTTCGAAGCAGCACGTGGTAGTTGTACAATTAACTTCCTGAAGTTCGAGAACCAGCATGCAGCTACACCACGATATTGCAAAAACGCATGACTGCAGAGACACGCCTGGTGCGCGTCGCCAATGATTCCTTCCCGCATTTAGCCCTAACCAAGTCCATTTTTAT